GTTCTCTTTGCCCGAATCATCGTCCCGCCATGCCATCACGCGCCCATTCAACCAAGGCAAGAATGTGGCGCACAGCCCATCTCTCTACCTTCCTCGATGGTGATGTCGAAACCCAGTCGGATGAACTAACCCGTGAAGTATAAGGTCGAGTCGTGGTTTGGCGAGAGCGATTCGAAACTCTTCCCAAGTATAAGGGCGAGCATTCGAAAGAGAAGAACTTCATATAATGACAGGTAGCCTGGATTTTTATGACGCTGGACCATGGTTGTGTGAGTAAGTAGTTATAAAAGCGAGAAGGGGAAAAAGGGGAAGGGGGGGGGTGGGGGGGGTTGTTGCTTACCTAGTATCGAAGATAGTCCTGCGCCTTTTATCGAGGAGCACTAGCAATGCTTGCCCAGCCATCTGAGCCAGCAGTCCGTCTGAAATAACCGGCTTTCCATCCTCGAGGTCTTGAAAGCGCTGCTTTGTTTCCATTAATGCCACAATACGAGAGTCTTTCAAGCCGGGCAGCGAAAGCAAGCGCACGCCACCATCTTCGACAGCCCATAGAATACAGTTTGAGCCGGACTGGAGTTGATAATTTGCCGATACTCTCTCGACGCGGGTTTCAGCGACAGCCTGTTCATCTGGTAGCTGGATGTATAGTTGCTGGCTCCAAATTAACACGACGCGCACGAAAAAGCGTGCGAGATGCAGCGTTAGATCATCGATTTCAGTGTCCTCGACCCCAGTGCCCTGCGGGTTCTCCATGTCTCCTCCTGCTCTTGGTTCCTCCTGCTCTTGGTTCCTCCTGCTCTTGGTTCCTCCTGCTCTTGGTTCCTCCTGCTCTTGGTTATCTTCGTCGCCTTGCCGCTGGAGGAGTGCACCAAGCTGTGCCCAGACAAACCCAATGCCGCTTCGGCCGTAGCCCAGAACGAAGTGAGCGTCGGACAACATGGGCAGCACCTGAAGATTGAGGACCGGGCCACCAATCAAAGCCTGGATGTCAGGGCGGGAGGGCGTCTCGTTCACGAGATAGGGCTCGAGGAGTGGGAGGGGGGCCCTTCTCGTACTAGGTTTTTTGCAAAGGAACCGCAGGGCAAAAAGGTGTTCTCGGCCCCAAGAACTGACCGATATAGAACCCTCGGGCTTGACGATTGAGCTTAGTTTTTTGGCCTTTTTTTGACAAGGCCTTTTCTTGAAAGGTGCTCGCATTGTGGATGGTGTCGAAGTAAGCCATGGTTGCCGTGTTGGTTGATGCAAGAGACTAAAATTGCCAACTGGTGAAGCCGGCGCGCATTTTGTGAGAGAGAATAGAGGGTAGAGATCAAGAGCTGAGTGGAAAATATATAGCCTTTGTGAGGGCAGCAACCCTTGAGTCCGGGCCAACCTGAACAGCGATCTGGGCAGTGGCGGGACTCCTCCAGACGGTGTTGTTTACTCGACGCAGGCCAGACTTGCTTGGGCTTCACTGGTTGTTCCACGTAGCTGAGAATGAGGGGTGTCTGGTTGGTTGCCTAGAAGATGGAGGGTTGAGGGTTGATATGGAAGGTCTTTTGGGCACATCATGGATATGAACATGGACGGTACGGGGATAAGATCTAGGACATTTACAGTATATGGGATATCCATGTTCATCACTAATTGTAGCACAGTCAAGGTTGGCCGAGCTATGTACGCACTTTGTGAACTCGCGTATAAGGGGTAGGATAACGTGTAAAATTGAGGTTCATCTATCTTGCGGGCATCGCTGAGCGCGGCCCGACCCTAGTCTGGTTGACCCGCCCGCGCCAATAGCTATGAGTCCCAGTTTGGGTTCTACCTAGTCAAGCATAACCGCTCGGGGTTCAGCCAAAGAGCGCAGCATAAATGGCCTCTCATTGTTCCTGCAACTCGCCCGCCCGTTCGGCGCATTTTTGGTAGATCAATTCTACGCGCTCCAACTCCTCGTCCGTGTCATATTCCGTATCATCGTTGCTCTCTTCGGCCGGGCTCTTCTTCCCCCTATCATGTGTCCAAGTAAGCAAGGCGAGGATGTGACGTATAGCCATCTCTCTACCATCCTTATCGGAGATGTCGAACCAGTCGCTTGAGCTAACCCGGACGTATAGATCGGACTCGTCGGTCGGTGAAATATTCTCGAACTGCGTCAAGTACTTTAGAGACGAAGGTTCGAAGGAGAAGAACCTCACATAGTGACTCGTAGCGTGGATTGTTACAACACTAGACAATGCTGGTATTAGTCGTGCGGTTACAGTGGAAAAGGGAAGGTCTCAGAAGGGGAGAGAAGAGTAGGTGAGGGGAGTGAAGGGGGGGCGGCTTACCTGGTGCCTACTACAAGACTCTCCTGGGTGGCCCCGAGGAGAGCCAGAAGTGCCTGCCCGGTCATCTGAGCCAATGGCTCGTCCGAAATGCTTGGTTTCCCGTCTTCAATAAGCTGGAAACGCCGCTTTGCTTCCAGTAGTGCCACAGTCGAAGCTTCGCCCGGGCGAAACAAGCGCACACCACCATCATCGATGGCCTGTATACCGCGGTTTGCCCCAGTTTTAAATTGGTAACTCGCCGATGCTTTCGCCTCGCGCAGTTCTAGAAATGATGCACCCGGCTACTGATCCTCCGCGCTCTGGCCGTTGTTCAACACAAGACGTACGAAGAGTTTTATGAGACTAAGTGCGAGATCCTCAACTGCGGGATTCTGCGGAGTCTCTGTATATCCGACGCTATTGGTGCTGGAGGCTATGCATTGGGAGCTGCTGGGTTCGTCACTGCCAATGTAGAACTCAGGTATATAGGAAATCGGTTGGTTGCAGGCTCGCGACAAGTCGTGGTGCCCCGAGTCTTCCTGCTGCCCGTGGCTATCTTGGTTGGCTTGTGGCTGGTTGACCGGCGGCCGGAGGAGTCCACCAAGCGTTGTCCAGATAAACCCAAGGGCTTCTGACTCTTTGTAGAGGTGATAGATTTGAGGTTCGGACATCCTGCACAACTCCCCCATACCCTGATCCGGGCCGCGGATTAGAGCTTGTATGCGAGGGTTGATGGACGCTACGTCCTTGGGGAGGTAGGGCTCAAGGAGGGGGAGATTCCTTTCTTTGGTAAGTGGCCTGCAAAGAACCCGCAGAGCGAGGAGTTGTTTCCGGCCCCAAGAACTGACCGGAGTAGGTTTCTTGGTATCGAGAAGAGAGATTAGATTCTTGGCCCCTTCTGACAAGGCCTTTCGTCGAAAGGTGCTCGGACTGTGGATGGTGTTGAAGTAAGCCATGGCTGAGTGTGGGCAGATACAAGACACAGATGTAAGATAACCGGTTCTCGAATTGTGAAGCCGACTTGCTCCTGCACGAGCTTTACGGGGAGGGAATGTCAGAATGGGGGGTGAGATTGGGAGCTCGGAGGGCAGTTTATGTATCTTTTTTACCTCACGGAGCAGACATGTTGAAGGTAGCAAACCTTAGGTCTGCGCGTGGAGGCAACCTAAACAGTGACTAGAACAGTGACCTGAACAGTGGTGAGACTCCTCGAGATTGTATTATTTACTAGGCACAGCACGGATTTGAGTGATTACCGATGACTGGCCGCTCCACATCGCCGAACATGAAAGATGTTTGGTTGAACACCTAGTTCCTTGCCTAGTTTTCTACCTAGTTGTCCATTTGGTTACCTACAAGATGGGGGGTTGAGAGATGAGAGATGAGAGTTGAGATGGATCGATCTATGTGAAGGTAAGCAGATAAGGGACGCGGATAAAGGATGCGGCCCACCGCCCCGTCCATGATCTGGTGTCATTGAATGTGTACAGGACAAAGAACAGCGGCGAGCATTACCACCTGCAGATACCTAAGTACCTATTCACTAGTTCAACCACAATATGATCTCACTGTCCGTGCAATCTTAAGCTACCTCGGCCTGTGGGCCACCTCTACAATAATATCACCCCATGGGCAAAAGAAAGGTCGGTACAGACAAGCAACATGATGTTATACAACTGTCTTCATCATTTCATGTCATACTTCTCGGTTAAATCAAGCCCGAATTTGCGAAAACAAAATACAATGGAATTCTTCACTGTGGCCCTCTCCATTCCCATGATATTGTTTATTTGTCTTGTTTAGGTAGTGCTTTGTGTACAACTACCTAGTTCAAGTGCGGTGCATGTATGGTATGTGTACAGAAGTGCTACCTGCCTAGGTAAGGTACCTAGATACCGGTTTTTGGTGGGTGAACCTCTCGATTCACCAGTTCACCAGTGTTGTGGGGCCACTAACTAAGCCTGGAAAACAGTTTGTTGCAAGTCGTCAGGCACGTGACCACGCGTGGGGAGCGTTCGCTTAAGCGGTTCACCGAGTTACCAGCTCGGGGCGACCCCGTCGCTCTTCGCCGTAATGAATCGATTCCACCAAAGGTGTCGGGCACACGGACTCAAACATGTGCACACGACTCGTGAGATCATGACGACCATGGAATCATCACCATCTCCGCCCCTGTCATCCTCCGGATTACCTGCGTCAAATAACGCATCAACTCTCACAACACCGACGTCGCCCCCGCATCACCCTCCGAGGCAGACTTGCCTCAAGCGTTGTCACTGCATAGGATACTCTGCCTCCATCCCCGAGAACGGCTTTTGTTGCACCCAGTCAAATGGACAAGTCGCCACCTCGAGCTATTAAATTGCTCATTTGAGCTACCCTCCCGACCCAACCTCAAGAGCGCGCGCCTCTATCCCCCATCCGACGAAGAAAAGGCTGCGAACCGCGCGTTTCGCTTCAAAACGTCATTCGGTCTTAGGGCTCGAAAACAATTAATACAGGAGCTTCTTGCAGAAGAGAATGGCCCATTGATTTCATTCCCGTTTGCCAATCCCCCCTCTTAACTCTGTTTAAAGCCTAGTACAACCACTAACCTGTTGTCTACTCTTGGATAGGGATGGGTTTGGTTTTTACTACCACCAGCGTCTTGTCGGCCGTCTACCGTGTATCGGCTTTTCCCTCCGGCTCGGATCGAGAGATTCGTGTGCGTCGCCTGTTGCCGCGTGGACCGACTTCGGACTCATTGAGTATCGCCGCGGGAGGGGCGCCCGACACGCTACGCAGCCATATGACCCTCCCGTCCATCACTTAGAGTGGCTGCAGTGGAAAGCCATCACCCCGAGAAATCGGTTGCGTGACCCTTGTATTCTCGCGTTGCTAGTCGCTGTGGCGCAAGGGCAACGGCTTGCTGCCTCGCAAAACAAAGGAGCAATGAACCGGCTTACATATCGGGCATGTTTAGTATCGTGATGTGGCTCCCTGATTTGCGCGAGTTCATGGTTTAATATCTGCCATCTTCTAGGCTCACGTTATTTGGACAGATTTCGCGGACCAGGAAGGTGTCCATGTTTTCACCGCCGATATCCCCTCCACTTTTCTGGACAGGTTCGACCATCCCGCCTTCGCGTCCCCCACACCGGTGTCCGTCTCCATCCGACATAATATTCTACCATTAAAATCACATGAGAAGCTTTATCCCCGGTTGCTTGCCGTCATACTTCCGGACGGCTATCCTAGCACTCGTAAGGAACCGAAAGCGAACGGTACTTATTGACGGGCCCCTGACGATAGCTCCCGTGCAACCACACAAGAGCATGGATCAGACTACGGAGGAAGGACGGAGCATGGTTTTGGCGGAACGATCCCAAGACGAAGGGTGACCGTGATTATTTTGTCCTGGCCTTCAATTAGGTTGTCATCCGCCTGTCTCCCCAGGAAGGTAGGCAGCACGAAATGTTCACCAAGAAAGTTGACTGTCCCAGACATGCAAAAAGGCCTGTTTATCCCTCCCTCTTAACGACTAGGATGTGGATAAAACAGAGCCAGGACCACCGCGTCTCGTGTTGGGTAGGTATGTACGGATGTGCATTTCATGAGAACCAGCCGCCTAGCTGGGACACCGAGCTTTCGCCCTGCCGGTACCCGAGGTGAGGCGCATAGTCAGACTGACCATAAACATACAATGCGAGAAAGAACGAAAGACCATCGGCATACATTCATGCTGTTGAGCTCGACCTTCTTGCCGCTGAAAACAAGTGGGAGCCAAGCAATAAAACGCTTGTTGTCTACACCGGACGAACCTTGGAGTGGTCGGGCAGGGTGCCTGTGCTGCAAGTGGATTACAGTTCAAGTTGGGAGGGCACGAGTAGGAAGAAATTCACTCAGAGCGAGCAATATTTCTCAGGCAATGTGTCTCAGGCGACTAGGGACATATGAACATATGACCGGGAAAGCAACAGTGACTCACCCAAGGCAGTGACAGGCTATATATAAGAATACAAACCAAATCCCACCCGAAACACTCCCTTTCTCCCTCTCTCACCCACAGTCTTGTCGACCTTGTCCAAAAGGATCTTTGAATACGTTAGAAGAGCCGGCGAGTCGAGCGCACCTAGCCGTGGTCGGGGGCCATTTCCTTCGAGGTTGCCCGACCCCAACTCCATTATGGCCTGAAATCATTCAGTCGATGCCAGCTGGATTTAGCTGTTCTGGATGGAGCAAGACGTTGCATGAGAGCATCATGGTTGACATACTCATACTTGAGCAGTTGACTGCTTGAATTTGCCGCTTCTCTGCTCCCGCTCCCCGTGTAATTTGGTTTTCCATCGCCCGTGTGGAGGACCGTTTATCGATGTTTGGGGCCACCTCCAGATCCGAGGCGTAGCTGAGCTCCAAGGTATCTTAGCGGGTTCACATCTAGTGAGTCTGCGAGCTCAGCTCGGCGAAGGGATGAGAAATAGACATAGACCTCACCGAATCAAGCAGTCGTTACAACCAACTGCATTTTATGACTCTAGGTAATTGATGTTGGCCACGCAAGGCTGCAAGACCTGGCTTTACCGTTCAGATACTTAACTAAGACGTTCTATTCCCAATTATTTACGTTCATTCCCGCAGGTTCAGATAATAAGTGTGATAAGAAGCAGGAAACAGTAGGGAAATAGTAGCTATGCTCTTGAATGGCCTTTGGGTACCAAGAGATGGCTATAGAGCAGGCGGCGGATAATGAACATGGCATGATTTGTATGTATGCTACACACACTCATTGTTCTAGGAGCCTCGACTGGTGTGGGTAAGGTACCTAGTTTTCACCTTCTACGGACAGATGTTCATTTCGGATAGGCTCCTAGTATGTTCCGATATACGAAGTACGGCATGTGAGGTGAGATCTCGTCATGATGGTCTGGCCCGAGCATGGAAAAGCTTGTACGAAGTCTGTCTTGCCATCTCCCTCGGCGGTTGAACCACGGAGAAAATTGAAACTGAATCGGGACGGCTGCATGGCTTAGCTTGGAGGCAAGCAGAGCCAACAGGCGAGTGAGCCAGCCAGCCTTGTCGGCTCATGTCATGCGGGCGACCGAAATATGCGGAACATTGTCCAATGGCCTCGATGCAACGTCAGGAAATGACAAGGCGATCGTAGTGGTGGATGTCGTGAAACCCGATTTTTTGAAGAAGAAAGGAGATCGAGTTCAAGTCTTGTCGCCGAATGACACGTGGAGAGATAGCAGCTAGTTGGGTGTGCTTGCCGTCCCACTTGGTCCATGCAATGGGGGCCGCAACGATAAGTTGCGCATGATGGGTGCGGAAAATGGCCGAGCGGTGAGTTTGCTGGTTGTGCACGCCAAACCTGCAAGTCGAGACGGCAGCGTCCCATGATTTGACCGTGTTGGGAGCGAAGGAGGCACGGGAGGGTATCAATCTTGTTGGAGCACGCTGATTGAAGCTCTGGACAGGTAAACCCTGTCGGCAGGCCGATGCCCCTCCGAGTTCATCCAATCGCTGTCGAGCATCGGCTTGTTGCATGCGACTTGCAGTTTTCATCCCAGCTGAGGAAACTGAAAAGAGGCCATCGGGTTCGGGCCCCGGGGTGAGTGGGGGCTGTTCGCTGGTCAGCAGCGCTTGTCTGCACTTGTTGCTGCTGTTCGCAGTTCAGATGGACGGCTGGACGGGCAAGACGGGGTGGCACCGTGGTGGGTCATCGCTGCCCATCGTTGGTACCCTTGCACGACCCTGGGATGTGGATGGAAGACCCATGTTGATGCTCCAGGGAACTTGGTCGAGCTTGGCAGGCTGAGGCGCTCTGTGGACCAACCTTGGCAGCTTGCCAACCCAAATATCCATGAGGGGAGCTCTCGAGCCCCACCGGCAAGCCAGTGGCACCGCGGTTGAATCCCAGCCTCCTGAAGAGACCCTTGTAAACTAAACAACAAACACTGCTGCTCGTCAGACGAAATTACGGCCTTTCAACTACACGGCCATCGCGACGCCGACGGAAGCGCATCTCGATCCGATTGAGACCTGATCGAATATCGCGTAAATAAACGAAAATACACCAGAACATCAATGAATGCGCCGTGAAGGAACTGTTCAGCTGTTTTTGAGCGGTCAAGCATCATGCGAGAGCCCCGTCGACGGAGCCCGGAGAGCACCCGGCGGCGGCGCGCCGAGCGCCGGCATTCCAGAGAGCAGCTCGCCGCCGCCGCCGCCGCCGCCGCCGTCTCGGCTCCCGTCGCCGAACCCGCCCCGATAGTGTCCCATTCCCACTCCCAGGGACGAGCCCGTGCCGATTCGAGCTCGTCGTCGTCGTCGACCTCGTCCTCGTTGATGAACATCTCGCGAAAAAGTCGTTGGGGAATCCGCTCCTTCTTCGCCTCCTCGTCGGTCAAGAAGGTCAAGAAGCGCCGCTCATTTCGCAAGAAGAACTCTTCCTCGTCCTCTTTCGACAGCGATTTGGCCTATGGCGCAGGTTATATGTCCAGGTCCTCCTTTGAGAGGCAGCAGGCAGCATACCAACAGACCCCTCAGCACCACCAACACCCTTCGTATCATCCCCACCAACTGGCTCAGCAGCATCCCCAGCAATACCCCCAGCAATACCCCCAGCAATACTCTCAACAATACCCCCCGCAATACCCTCAGAACGCGCAATACCCACCACCGCATGCGCAACATACCCAGCCCACCTACCATCCCGCCCCCGGCGCCCCGTCTCACCACCCCTTGCAGGATGATCCGTTGTTTGGACCCGATGGACGGCCTGCACTGAACAGGGCCCAGACCGACGAGGAGATTCTCGCCCTAGGCCGTAGGCTTTCGGACCTTGCGCGAGCCGAAAACATCCGAGACCTCGAACGGGTTGGCAAAAAGCGCCCTTCCCGCATGGGAGCCGCCGTCGCGGCTTTGTCCGAGTTCCATCGTCACGGGTCCCAGGGGCAGCCCGCCAGGGGCATGAGCTCCTCCAAACCTAGCCACCGCCACGACGACTCTGATACCGACTGGGAATCCGCCTCGGACTCCGATTCTGATTCGACGAGCGACGCCAACTCTGCCCTGGCTTATGGCCCCATGCCTAAGTTCTCGGACCCTAGCTTGCCCATCGCCCCCCCACCGCAAAGCCAGAGCATTGCCCCGACCGTTATCTCTCAGGTGCCGCCTGAATCTATCTACTCTCCTCGCCGCAAGAGTTCCGCGGTGGACCCAGCCAGGTTCGGCCCTATCAACTCCCTCCGTGGCTTCATCAACACACCTTGCGGCTTCCGCCCCGGCGAGTACCCACAGCACCCTCCTGGTCCGACGGAATCACAACTGCCACAGCATGACCCTATCCCCCCACCACATAGCGCATCGATCGAGGCTGGACCAATGCGGAACGTTTACCCGGTCCCGACCACTAACCCCTCCCGCTTCGAAGCAGCTCCGAGCGCCTCGGGCGCGCCTGTTCCGCTTGCCGGGGCGCCAGCTCCATCCACGCCGACGCGTCGGGACAGAGATAGAGACACCGACAGGGATAGCGTGCTGTATTCCAGCCGCCCCGAGTCGTCTGTACCGATCCAGGCGCCGAAGCCGAGAGTTCCCGTGTCGCCCCGCGTGTTGGAGGACCAGCGCGCTGCCGTCGAGAAGGACCAGCAGGCCCAACAGGGGAGCCCGCGCGAGCGTCGGTCTAGGAAGAGTCGCGACTCGGACAGGAGGAGCGCTGTGGATTCTGTCGCCTCTGGTGCGCTGCCCGCGGTCATCGGCGCTGCTGCAGGAGCGGTGCTGGCTGGAATCGCGGAGGACAGACGGGAGAAGAGGCGCGATGAGCGGGACTATGATAAACGGGATGACAGGGGTTACTTTGATGACCGCCACGCCCACCCGGGAGCCCCTGACATGAGAAGCGTTGTAGAGAATGCTTTTAGCGGGGCCCCTTCTTCTGCCGCCGTCTCAGACGCTAATAAGCAGCGCGAGCTCGACGAGCTTCGCGAGAAAGAAGCCCGTGTGCGCGAAGACCGTCTCCGCTACGAGCGCGAAGCGGAGCGTCACCGTGAAGCCCGCGAATACCGTGAGAAGGAGGAGCGCCACCGCCGGGAGGAGGTGGACGCCCGCCGCCTTCGCGATGACCCGGAACTTGCCGATAAGTATGAACGTCGCGTGCGAGAGGAGCGCGAACTCCGCTACAAGGAGGAGCGTCGGAGCAACGACGAGCGCACGCGGTCGGAGCATGACCGGATGTTGAGGGACGTCGAGAAGAAGCGCGATCGTGAGGAGAAGCGCAAGGTCGAGACGCGCGAGCACATGGAGGAGCGTAGTCGAGAGCGCGAAGAACGCCGCCGCTCGAAGGGCAAGGACGCCGTCACGGTCGTTGATGAACGTGGAAGCAGCCCCTCGGCCAGCAAAGAGGTCCCGCCCCTCCCCGAGAAGAAGCAAGGGGGGCTGGAACCTGGGGCGCGAAAGCCTACCCGCGAGGAGAGGCGTGCTAAGCGCGAAGAGACCCGTCGCATGATCGAGGAAGTTCAGCGCCAAATCGAGCTCGAGAAGAAGCGGATTGCGGAACTGGACGCGGGCAGGCAGCCTCCCGTAGAGGAGTGTTCTGAACCTGGTCCCTCGAGTAGCAAGAACGACACAGTCGATCCCTTCCAATATCAGGTTGCGACTGATGCCTTTCCCACTCCGGCGTTGGGCAGCCCGAAGCGCTCCATCACTCCTGTTATCCACACCGTCGAACGCGAGCCCGATTGGGCCCGTGAAATGCCTAGTCGACTTGACGAACGTGAGGAGCGGTTGAGCCGGCGCTGCTCTTTTGAGCGAGAGGTGCGAGAAGCCCAGGCCTCCGGCGAAACAAACGGCGCCACCGCTCCGGCTGGGGACGACAAGACCCCTGCTGCCATTTCGGTGCCTGGCGAAGACCGTGCCCGGTCCCGTTCGCGTGAACCCCCCCGAGGCAGAGATCCGGAGCCTGTGAGAGACGTCGTGCAGGACGAGGCCAACCGGCACTACCGCGAGAAGAGGATGGCCGAGAGGATTGCTGAGGAGGAGATCCGCTCCCGCACGCCTTCCCCGTCGCGCTCGGTCGTGGACAAATATGAAGACAACGAGGAACCTGTCGGGCGCATCGTGACTCCGCCCGAGATGAAACGCCCTCCCACTAAGAGCAAGTTCGATGGCCCTAACGCCGACGTACGCATCGACAATGTCATCATGCCACAAGACGTTTCCAGGTTTCACCCCCCTCGCGCGAGCGCGTCCGGCCTGGGCCCCGTGATGATGCCCATCTTCAAATCGAGGGACCCGTCGTGTGAGCGCGAGCGGCCTATGCTCAACCTTGTTCTCCCCACGCCAAGGACGTCTCCCTCCCTGGAGAAAATGAAAGCCAGGCAGGCTGCCGTTCAAGCTGCTGATGATGCGACATCCGAAGACGAGAAGAAGAAGGACGACCGAAAGCCCAAGACAATCACCAACTACCGCGGCCAGACGGTTGAAGTTCCTGATGATTATGATACCGGCCGTGTTGTGGAGAAGGAAAGCCGCGAGTCGTCTCAGGAGCGCCCTGCTATCAAACTCAGGTTTGGTGGTAAGAAGAAGAGCGCTTGGGGGAGCCTCATTGCGGCTGCTGTTGTTGGTGCCGCGGGCAAGACGAAGGGTCAGGGATTGGGCCAAATCGAGAAGGCTGTTGGGGCCCCAGGGAGTGCCACCGTTGTTGAAGCGGACAAAGACAAACCGCGGGATGTGGAACCCGTGCCGGAGCCTAAACCGGAGCCGGTGCCTGTTCCGGAGGTTCAGCCGACGATTGAAACTGTCGCCGAAGCACCCCGAGACGTTACGCAAGAGTCGGAGCCGGTATCAACTGAAACAGCGCCGGAATCACAACCCTCGCCAACCCGGAGCGTCTCCCAGGCACCATCCACCCCTCCTCGTCGGTCACGAGTTCCGTACGAATTCGACGATGACCCTCCTCAGGTTGGTCCGAAACCCGCTAGCCCACAGACGCCTCGGACAGCGGGTCCTTATGAAGATGACATCGACTTTGCCGCCACCGTCGCTGTGGGCCTGCAAAGCACTGGGTTTAATCCGGACATGGTAGTTAATGATCCCACCTACCGGAAACGAGATTCGCCCCCCGGTTCAAACGAACTTACCTACACGGCCCCAGTTTCTGAAACCGTCACTAACCGCGGTCTTGATTCTGCCAACCGGGGTGTTGAAGAAAACGTTGTGGGTGGGAATGCTGAAGCCGCGCCCAAGCCTGAAGATGTCGAATTCAGCAGGGAACCTTCGGTGCTCGACGCGGATGATGAGTGGTCAGTCAAGAGCTCCACAAAGTCTCCGAAGTCGAAGCGGGACAGCTCTTACGACACCACAGTGTACTCCGCTCCTTCGTCTGAAGTGTCTTTTGGAAGCTCGAGCAGCAAGAAGAGCAAAAGGAATCGCCGCAAGAGCACGAAGGATTCCTATGACATACCGGAGCAAGACGAACCGCCTGATCGACCCGGTGATTCTTTTCAATGGATCGACCGCGAGCTGAGCTCGGTCGTATCCGATCCGAGTGGCAAGCTCAATGGCGGCCATCATGACACGGCATCCGTCATCTCGCCCCCCACGAACGGCAGCAGCGAGCACCACGAGCGCTCAATAACACAGAACGGCGATGAGAAGGATTCTTTTTTAGGTAATGCCGGCACCTTTGGCGCAGGTGCCGGCCTGGCGGGAGCCGTTGTTGCTATCGCAGCTCAGCTTTCCCGTCCCAATGCCGCCCAGGACCTTGTTGAGGAGGAGAAGATGCAGGGACCGGTTCGGCGTGAGCGCAGCATCAGCTACAGCTCGCAGACCGTCGACCCAGAGATCATCCAGCGGGAAATCAAACCCGCCATTGATCCCCAGTTTGGTGATCTCCTGCCCCTCCCTCCCAGCGAGCCTGGTTCGCCCAGCTTTGATCACCTAAACAAAGAAGATTTTTTCTTCCCTTCCCTTCCCGACAGTGAGGACGACACACCGTCTCCTCAACAAACTCGCCCGCGCCGCGGCACCGTTGGCCACACGCACACCCGCCGGCGTAGCGCGGTTGAGCCGCCCAAGACACCCAGCCGTACTGCTGTGCCAGTACAGTTCCGCATGGGTCGCGGCTCGGTTCCTTCCTCCCCTGCCTTCCGCTTCTCGCCCCTACACTCGCCCGTCGCAACCACCCACTTCGAGACGAGTAATATCTCGCCCAAAAGGAACCGCTCCGCGCGACCGATGTCGTGGGACAGCTCGCGAGACTTCAAGCCGCTTTACCTGCTCGAGAAGACCGCGAGCTCGAGCGCTCACGGTCCTGCCGCTGAGTCGAAGCAGCAGGATGAGTATCCCGCGTTGCCGCCCAGCGAACCCCCCTCGCGGGAGTCGCCAGGGCCGGAGTTTGAGGAACGTGAGGACGACCTGGACTACCTGGGCGTCGGGCTCAGGGTCGCCGCGGGGATGGGAGCTTCCGTGGGCCTGTTGGAGGCCCTGCAGATTGACACGTCGAGCAGGGGGCTTGATGTTGGTGCTGGCGAGGTCAAGTTTGGCGAGCCGCTGGGGTCGGGCGAGACGACGCCCAGAGCCGCCGTCGCTTCTCGTCCTCCTTCGCGCGGCTTCGATGCCCTGACGGAAAAGTCGGATGAAGCTGCCTATGATGCCCTGGATGAGTGGCAGGTTGTCGGGGATCTGGACGCGTTGCCACCGCTGCCGGAGAGCCCTGTTGAATCATCCCCTGCCCTGGCACCATCACTCCCAGTTGTTGCGGCCGAACCTCAACCTGTCTTTGAGGACCTGAGGGGTTTGCCTGCCCTTCCTGACAGTCTGCCAGCCTCGCCTCCGTTGGCGGCCTTGCTTCCGGCTCCTGCGCAGCTGCTTTTCCCTGAGGACTTGGAGCAGTTGCCGGCTCTGCCTGAGAGTCGCCCATCCTCGCCTGTTCTAGAGGCTCGACGTTCGGCTCCTAGCCCGCTGCTGTTTGCTGAGCCAGAGGCGCTGCCTCCACTTCCTGAGAGCCGTCCGGGGTCGCCTGCTCTAGATGCGCTACCTGCTGCTCCTAGCCCGTTGTCATTTGCTGGCTCCGAGCCAAGGGAGCTCCCTCCACTTCCTGAGAGTCGTCCGGAGTCGCCTCCCCTAGATGCGCCACCTGCTGCTCCTAGCCCGTTGCCATTTGCTGGCCTTGACTCAGGGCAATTGCCGGCTTTGCCTGAGAGCCGGCCAGACTCGCCTGCTCGGGAGGTACGGCCTTCTGCTCCTAGCCCGCCGTTGCTTGCTGGCTCCGAGTCAAGGGAGCTCCCCCCACTTCCTGAGAGTCGTCCG